ATTTAACAATAAATAGATTAAATTAAATAAAAATATATATTAATTTCAATATTTATTAAACAAACTCTTCTTTTTTTTTTTTTTTGCAGAAGACTTCTATACCAACAATATTCTTGTGGGTAATTGGATTTTTTTTTTTAGGCAAATTCCTATACCAATTTTTTTGCTTTGTCAGTGAAAGAATGTGAAATATTATAATTTTTAAAATTTTTTTTGCAAATTGGTAAATGTTTTCGATTATAGCTTTGTCGATAAAAGAATAAGAAATATTATAAAAATATATATAGTACCAACATTAGGTTTGTCTATGATTATTTTCATACGATCTTTTTGTTTGGTAAGTCATTGATATGATTTACCAATGATTAATTTGTTTGCAGTAAACCAACTATAAATTAAAGACATGCTCTTTATCGCTAATTTCCACCTATTTACTAATGTGACTTACTTGAAATGAGCTATGTTAGTAAGGTTTTGGTAACAAGTTAGAGACATGCTTTCTGTTAGTAAATTGAATCAATGTACTGACGTGATTTTAATTCACATTGGTAAATAAATTACCGGACAAGCTTACACCGACAAATGTATTATGGACATGGTTCAAATTGAAAGTTGTTTTTCTCAATGAGATTCATTTTGGTTTCTGACATGATTTCTTGTCACTGATGCCATGCATTCTTGTAGTACTTGAGACTCAACCTAAAGATCACTGGTACTCGACCTGAAGATCACTGGAGTGCACTCACTTGCTTCTCAATGAGAAGCGTGGCCACGACAGCCACATGAGTGAAAGGCCCACAATCCCCTTTCTCAAACGGCTCCTTAGAGGCAAAAATGCTTTGTCCAAATATAAGAGAAGTGGAAGGAAAACGTGTCACAAAACATCTCCGCCAACAAAATACTTTGTCAATAATTTTTTAAAGAGGTTTGGTAAAAGTAATGATACAACCCTTTTAATATTTTTTAATCAAAGGTACAACCTTTTTTTTCATAATTAATTAACATAACTACCTTTTAAAATTTTTTAATTAAGAATATAGCTTTTATAATTTTGCAAACAAAAGATTCAACGAATATGCGTACTAATGTAGTTGTCACCATTTAGAAAAAAATTGAAGTAGACTAAGGATTAAGTGAAATCCATTAACCACGTAAGCAGATAGATTTGCATACTCCATTTTTAGTGAAAATTACAAATATCATATATTTAATTTAAAACTTTTAAAATATAATAATTTTAATTAATTACGAAAAAAAATCATACCATCAATTAAAAAATTTTTAAAAACTTGCATCCTTATTTTTATTAAATCTCATTTTTCTAAACTAAAGTAATACAAGGTCAATAATTTTTTCTCATAATTAATAATTAATATCTAATTAATGAATTCAGTCCTGTTTTTTAAACATTTTGGGAAGCAATTAAATTAGTTAATTGTTACTTTTTAGATTTGTGGGATGAGGGGGTTGTCCTTGTACCCTAAGGTGAGGGAGCACAGGGCGCACCTTGATAACTAGCACCAAGATTTTCACCCAACTAAGTCACATCAAATTCATTTTTAACTATTTTAATATCTTAGTTACAAATCAATGTTATTTAAACTCTACTTATATATATATTTTTTAATAATAGAAAATTTTGGAAAAGAAAAACCTGAGTATAAAATTTAAGTTTTAAGTTTTTAGCACTTTCTTCATTAAGGTGATTAGTAAACCATTACATGCTGCACTATTTAGACTCAACATTAGTTAATTGTTACTTGATAAAAAGAGAAAAATAGTTAATTTTTGGGAAAAAAAGAAAGAAAGTAAACTGGTTTAACTTAAAAAAGTTAACGGACAAATGTGTTAAAAACATGAAAGTTAATAGACCACTTGCTACATTTAGTTGCCGTTCAGCTGCAAACCAGTTTATCCTGAATTCTCCGCAACGAGCGGGTGAGGTGAGGCTCTCTTTCTCTCTCACTCCCTTCCTCTCCTGCAATCATCAAATCTTTGAAGATGGAGATACGTGTCTCTGCTTGCTCTTGTCCATCCTAAGCCAAAACAGAAACCAAAGTGACCCATCAATTTACCTAACGCTTTGACATAAACATAGTAACGGAGAATCAAAGATAGTATATTACTATGTCGTTCTCTATCCTTTCTCCCCCTATTTCGCCTCCTTCCCACCCTCCATCCATCGTTTCGTCTCCTAATTTTGCTCTCTATCATCCCCACTACGCTCTATATCACCGCCAACGCAGTCAGAGACATTGCCGCTCAATTCCAAAAGAGTTGTTTCTTGGCCATTGTAGAACAAAACGGAGCTTGGATATTGGTTCTATGGGGAAAAGGGGAGATGGGTTCTTCTTGGTTTCTGCGTTTTGTAGCTCCAGAGGGAGTAGCAGAGAGGGGGATTTTGAAAGTGATGGAGATGATGAAGAGGAGGAGATAGATGAGGTTGCTGGTTCTTCTTGTGTTTTGCCTGAGAGATGGGATGTTCTTGGTCTTGGTCAAGCCATGGTGAATTTCCTTTTTCTTACTATTTTTTTGTTGTTGAATTTGTAATTGTGGCTGTTGTTATTTTGAACTGAATTTTGTGGTTTTATTTTTATTCAATAATTTAGTTTCTACAGTTAAATCGAATTTTTCGGATATTTATGTTTTTATTTTTAGTTTATTTATTTTTCAGATAGCCAGAAGTTGAAAAAAAATTTTCATTTTGATTTTACTTTGTTCCCTTTCGTCTTGGGTTATTAGGAGATCAAACCATCACTTGAATGAGATTTTTACTAGTGAAACTTTTGACTTTATTTTTCTTGTTCTGCTCTCTTTTATTTGAGGATATGGGGAAGGTTTATTGAATGTTATTTTATTTTTATTTGGATTTTGTAATGTTGTATGGAAAAAAATAACTCTGGGTTTGGTTTCCAGGTGGACTTTTCTGGAGTGGTTGATGATGAATTTTTGGAGAGACTGGGATTGGAGAAAGGAACAAGGAAGGTCGTTAATCATGAGGAGAGAGGTAGAGTTTTGCGGGCTATGGATGGTTGCAGCTATAAGGCAGCTGCTGGTGGATCTCTTTCCAATACCTTGGTCGCCTTGGCAAGACTTGGTGGCAAGCCCATTGGAGGTCCTGCCTTGAATGTAGCTATGGCAGGCAGTGTAGGGAGTGATCCATTGGGTGGCTTTTACAGGTCAGGCTATGTTTTTATTACCTTTAGTTGTTGATCCTTTCTCTACTTGTTTTAGCTGTGACATCATATTTATAAAAGTTCTGAATGGTGATGGTCTTTCTGGTTCAGTTTTGGTTAGGAAATAGGGTAAAACAGTTTTGACACATTTAGACTTTAGACAATACATGCCAATGTGATATTTCAAGTAGTTTATCTTTGAATACTTCTAATCTCATTGAATGATGATTGTGTTTTATTGCTAATTATTAACAGCCCCTACTAAAAAGTTTATGCTAATTCCTTCAAACTTTCTGTTTTTATGATTAATGATTTGATCTGGCATGAAGTCATTCCGGCCAGATATCTTTATTCTCTATATTATATGATTTTTGTTAGCCAAAATGAGTTGACTATATTCAGTATTCAAGATGTTAGGTGCTCTGTCCACTCGCATCCATGTCAAAAACTAAGGTGCAATTTTGAAATCTAAAGATTAATGATATTTAGCAGGCATTTGGATTAGTGTTGCAGAAAGTTTTAAATGGTGGTGAGGATATACTCCACTGCCTATCACCTAGGACTGCCTAGGTTCCCCTAGGTGTCTAGGCATTTTTAACTTTTTTTTCTTTTTGAAAATGCAAAATAAAAAAAGGCAGAAAAAGTAGAAAAAAAAAAAATTGGATTAGGCGCACCGAGGCACTGTTCTAGGCTCTTGTTTAGGCATGTGTAATCACTCTAGGTGGAGCCAAATCCTCAGGTCCAACGCCCAATTGCTAGGTGAGGCAGTTGCCTATTGCTAGAATTATTGAAAGGCCCAACCCAATCCATTAGTCCTTATTTTCATAGACTGTGAAGATGAAAAGTTACATATTTGACTGCCATACATATGGGATAATTATTAGTCTGATGAACAGTTGTTGCCAAGTATATACTGATTGAGGCATTTCTATTGAATGGCTATATTTTATTAGAGCCTTACACATTGGAAGTTAGAATCAGTGCATTTGCTTTTTATTTTAATTGATTGTTTTGTTTGCAAGCAATTCATATGGGGCGGGGTGAGGTTCCTTGCAGGTTCTATTAGGAATGGGATTGTAAGTAGTCTTATAAGCCTCAGCCTCCTTGATCATCATTTAATGTTGGATTGTTTCTCACTCATTAGCCATCTATTCGAGAGTAGGCTGTGATTTGTTGCAGTGCCAAACTTCCATTGTGATCCGATATACAGTGTCATCTTATGTAAGGGTTTGTGCTGTGTCCCACCTCAAGATAATGTCTGTTTTGGCCTAGGATCTCTTGCTCGTCCTTAAAAGGGCCACAACAGGTTAGGGGATGGCTCTTATATGGGTCACATCTCTTGACTATCATTTGATATGGGATCCTTTTATACTTCGTACCATATTCTACTTATTTGATGTACTTGTTCATGGTGAAGCTTGGGGCTGGTTTTATTCTCTATTTAGTGTATATTCTCTTATAGCAAAGAAAACTAATAGAAATAGTGTTCACATGTTTTTGGCCAAAAAAAAAAAAAAAAAAGTGTCCACACATTGATTTTATACTGCGAAGTGGAGGAAAGGGGAATAGTCAAGTTGCTGGAGTAGTTCTTTTCTATATATGATGTTTGCCAAACAGTCCACGTGAGCTTAAATAAATAGATAACAGAGATACATAGGGCAGTGCTTGTAAGCACTGAATAAATGGAAGGCCCTTGGCCTACATACTCGTAGGAGATCATTATTGAGGAATGGCTCTCACTGAATCAGGAGGATCCTCAAAGTAATGGAACCCTCTGTCTAAATGGTAGAATTTAGACACCTGCATATTTGCACATGCATTTGTTTCACAAAACACATGCCATATTTTGCAATCCTAGTCCTTGTTCTGTTGTTCAAGAGTCTCTGCATTTCCTCACCAAAAAGGGTAAAGCATCTGTGGGAGCTTCTGATCTGTGAATTTATTTAGCTAGAAGAGAATCTGTTTCAATGACAACTTTTCTATATCCTTTCTCCCAATCCATCTGCATTCCTTTCCACATGGCAAATAGTTCAGCATGTAATGCAAAGCCAGTACCCAAAGTACCCAATTATTGGGTAAAACTGAAACGCCAATTACCCATTTATTATGGGCATACCCCCCCACTGACTCTCCTGGAGCTCCTTTAACTGGTAAGTCTTTGTTTATTTTTACATAGCCTGCTGGAGGTTTCTCCCATCCTATAAGTCATTCCTTGTATGGAGGTTCTGACACTGCATGTTTCTTTGTATAGCAAGCTGCTTCAACTAAGTGTTACCTCAGCATTTGCTTATAATCTGTAATCCAATTCAAGTCTCCATCATATACTGCTTTGTTGCAGGCTAACCAAATGAACCAACAAATTGCAGGAAAAGCAGTTAGTCCATGGAAGATTGAAACTAATATTAACACTTCCTCATAATAGATTGTGATTGATCCATGGATAACAGAGTCAACAAAGCATCAATAGACTTAACTCATACAGCATTGCACATAAAATCCATTTACATGTTAATCAATGGCTTTCATGTGTCATTCCTGTTATCTGAGTTCATTTTGCAGCATTATACAAATGTTTAATAATGTTGTGCTTTCAGTTTCTAGCTTATTAACCATAACAGCGACTTAATGTCTGTAACTTGAACTCACTGACCAAATACACACTTGCATTCGAATCCCGTGCTTGATTCTTCATCTGGTTTCATTAAACAGACACTGTTTTTACATTTAGCTATTCCAATTTTTTTTGTTCTAGCTTCATTTATTCATTTACCTCTTGTACTTTGTATTTCTGCTCATAATGATCTTGTGGTTTTAAACATCCTATGTTTTAAAACTTTTTAGGTCAAAATTGCAGCGGGCAAATGTAAATTTTCTCTCTGCACCCATCAAGGATGGGACAACAGGGACTGTTATAGTTCTCACAACTCCAGATGCTCAACGTACAATGCTTGCTTATCAGGTTAGGCTTCTTTGAAAAATAAAAGCCATATAATTTTTGAAATTTCTAGTATTTCTTTTCTGAATTTAATTGTAACTCTATTTTGATATTAGTTCTTCTTTCTGTTAAGTTTATGGCTGATATGTTTGTGCTTAACAGTCTCTTGAGGGCAAAAAATTACTTAGTATTTTAAATCTGGTGTTCTTAACTAGTTAATTCATATGCAATTTGAACATGTTTATCATTTTGCAGAATTTCCCTTCCTTCATGTTTGATATGTAAAGAAGTGCTTCCAAGTCATGTAATGTTTTTTCTACATGGAAGTGGCTTTAATCACTCTTGTAAAAACATTGTTTTGGCAAAATTCTTATTGTTCTCTTAGATCATGCAAAAGATGCAACAGAAATCAAATCCAGAGTCCGTATTTCATGGCTTCTATTCTCTTATTTGGTTTTCATGTGTTTGTGTTATCTTTCTGAATCATTCATCTTCAATAATTTTCACTTTATTAAGATATTTTTTTTTGAAGTGATAATTTTTTTTAGAGAAAAGTGAAAATCAGGATGTCCTCACATTTAAATGCCTGTCTATGAAATTGGTTAGATTCCCTTAATGAATCTTCCTTGTGTGTTGATTCATTAAGGGTATTTAAGTCTTCATTATTATTCCTAACATTTTAATTGCCAAGATGTAATGATTTTCCACAAACCCACTTTTTATTAAGATTTATTTTAGGTTTAAAAAGGAAAACAATGTAATAAATATATTCTTGAACTACATTATACATGCCAACAGATAGTGAAAATGGAAATTAAGACTTCTCACTTGTTATTGCTTTCAAGAACTGGGGCAGCTGAATGAGAAAGTGATATGAGAAGCTGATTTGTTTGCAACTTTAACTGTTGAATGTTACCATGTTTTCCCATTCCTTTTGGTTATTGACCCATCTTATCTTTTGAAACCTGTCGAATAGATACTTGGCCGTTGAAACTTAGAAGGACATGTATATTTCTGTTCCAATATAAAAGCACTTCCAAGTTAACAATTCATAAGGAACTTTTTGATCTTATAACATGGTTTGAATTATTTACATTGTTTGTGAGGTAAAACATGTTGAATTTGGTTTTAATAGATTGACCTCTTTCTGTGATTGCAGGGAACATCGTCAACTATTAATTATGATTCTTGCTTGGCTGGTGTAATCTCCAAGACAAACATATTTGTTGTTGAAGGTTATTTATTCGAATTTCCAGATACCATAAGAACAATTTCAAGAGCGTGTGAGGAAGCACGCAGGAATGGTGCACTAGTAGCAGTCACAGGATCAGATGTATCCTGTATCGAGAGACACTATGATGATTTCTGGTAGGTTCTCAAGCTTTGATGAACTCATAGTGAATTCCTTAACCAAGAATAAGCTTGAGAGTAAATGGACTGTGGAATAAGGATTTTAGTTCTGATTATTCATGGATATCTGAGAAGATAAATCTCTGTTGCTTAAAAATTATTTTCCTAAAAGATGGACATTAGATGTGATAATATATGTTTATGTGCTGTGAAAGATTCTATTTTGCAATCTAAGCCCTCGGAGAAAATTATTTGGACCTGTTGAGGCTGGAATACCTATTTACATCACCCAAATGGTAAATTTTGTACAATTATCTTATTGGAAACTTGTCTTTATCTAAGAGAATTGCATCGGGGTGAAAAATGTCCTTGTCCATGTCTTCTAGACCATTTGGTTCTGAGGAGGCTATAATATACCAAGTTAATAAATGATACCCTCAGTATTTGAGAACTTATTGTCCTCAAAGTTCATAAGCCATAGAAATGTTGTGCACCAGCCTGCCGCAGGCCCTGAACCTCACAAAATGAAATTGACCAAGTTAGTTTCCTAGAGAGAAATGGTTGTCCTTGGGCATTAATATCTTTGTTTCTTATTATAGTTTCAATTTTAAAGCTTATCCATTCTGCTCTACATTTCTGTTGAGACACGATGCATTTAAACAACTGAAAACTTTTTATTGTTTAAATGATTATTCTCATAACTATAATTCAATAGATATTGGAATCTCTGGTTGGAGTTGGAGTTGTTCAATTCAATCCATCACTCAAATATTAATTTCATTCCTTTTTGGTTTCAGGGAAATTGTGGAGAACTATGCTGATGTTGTGTTTGCAAACAGTGACGAAGCAAGAGCTTTTTGTCACTTTTCCTCAAAGGAAAGCCCCATTTCAGCAACAAGGTACCTGAGTCACTTTGTTCCATTGGTCTCAGTCACAGATGGACAGAGAGGCTCTTACATTGGGGTAAAAGGAGAAGCTGTATATATTCCCCCTTCTCCATGCGTACCAATAGACACCTGCGGTGCTGGGGATGCATATGCATCTGGTATTTTATATGGTATACTACGCGGTGTATCTGATTTAAAAGGCATGGGTGCTTTAGCAGCTAGGATTGCAGCCACAGTTGTTGGGCAACAAGGGACACGACTTGCGGTTCAGGATGCTGTCAAGTTGGCAGAGTCGTTCACATTCAATCTTAAGAACACTGTAAGAACAGATGTAGGCTCTGATAACATTTCCAGCTTGTAGCATGGTGTCTAGTCCCCCACACCCCTCCCCCCAACCTTTTTGTGATTTTCTCAGTTGTTCTATATTCTTTGGTTGATAGCTTTATAGTTTCTGTACATTATACTGCTAAACATTGATCATATACCCTAAACATTGATAATTCATCCTTATATTTTCAGTCACATGAATCGAATTGGGATTTATTCCTCCTCATCGCTTGCTATTTTGTCATACATTACTAGACACTTTACCGAGTTCAAGGAGAGTGTTCGTATCTTTTTGTCTTCTAGACATAAATCGGTTGAGAGATTCATAGCTGGGCATTCATCATTAAGCACAGTATAATAATTTCAATGTCTCAACTATACTTTTAATGTGTAAGTTGATGCAAAAAATATATTTTTTTAAAATATTTTTTTTTCTTAGCCAACAAAATGAGATTTTTATTAATAAACAAGTAGAAGGGGCTACTCATATCCCCTGCAAAAACATTTTTGGTTAAAAATATAAGGTACTTATCAAGTGAATCATAATTATGATTTTGAAATATAAATTACTTGTGAATGAATAATATAAAATCACAAGCAGTGTATGGTGATAATCAATGTAACTAAGAGTTCTTAATCCTCAATTATTTGTGTGGCGTTGTTCTCATCCTCCTGTAGTTTTCTTTCACTGTCTTAATTTTGCCTTCTTCCCATTCCTTTGTTCTCACTTTCTTTTCTGTCTCCATCCCCTCTTTTTTCTTTCGTTTTTCATTAATGTTTTCACGTCTCTGTACATATTCCCTTCTTAATAGTCTCATCTCTTTTTCTTTCTCCGTCCCTCTCTTTTCCCCTTATCTCAATAGTCCCGTCTCTTTCTCCAAGTTTCCTCTTTTAATTCTTTCCTCTCTTTTCGTCTTTCCGTTTTTCTTTCCTCCTTTCCATTTTCCAACTGGTAGTTTCTAGTTGTTTTTGTATATTTGCAGGTTTCTTCTTCAGATGAAGCAAAGGGAATATTGGCAAGAAGAAATTGCCCAGTTTTAACTTACTTTTTTTTTTTACTTGTTTATAATCGGGGTGTATCCAAATCAATTTTTTACAAACTAAGAGATTCATTTCTGTCAAGACAATTGTAAAGTATACCCTATAAATCAACCTAATACATTTAAAGAAATTATTTTTTTAAAATATTAACTCTAAGATTTGAACTCAAACTTTAATTTATAAAATAACACTCATTTTGTAGTGGATTCAACCTTACGGTTCTCAGTTTTAACTTAGCCCAAAGGTGTTTTTAGTTGCACAGAAATTGTGCTTAATAGTTTTGAGGGTAGATTGAAAGGTTCATCTAGTACACAAAGGTGTCTAGTATTATATTGAAACATTTGACTAAGGCCTAAGGAAGCATGTAAATAGTATAATTTTTTTCAGAGTTTAATGTTAAAATATTCTTGAAATTGATCTACTTTTACTCTCTTTTTCTCTATTTGCGCTTAAATGTATACACAATTAGCCAAAGCAAAAATTTTTATTAAAGGAGTACAAGGCTTACTCCAGCCTATACACCTTTACAGGTACACAGTTCCAAAAATAAGAGAAATACAGATAAAAGGCCATTCCTCCTGAACGAGTGTTGATATTATCCACATAAAAAATAAATCCCTTAAATTTACACATACAGTGGTTTAAGATTAACCCAGCGCAGTCAACCACTCTATTATCATACCAATGTGAGAGTAAGCAATGTTGCACCATTACTCCGGTATGTTATGGTTGAGCCTCCAAGGCCATTGTGGAAGAAGACAACCAGATAAATCTTTTGATAAATTAGGCCAGCCCTTTGCCTTTTAACCAATCAAAAGATCTAGGATTAATTAGTTCCACAGTCCTTCCCTCATCTAAAAATAGACCATATTGCCATGAACCAAACCAATGACCAACCATCCTTTAAGTATATATATATCTATATATATAAATTTTAAGTTGCACAATGAGAGACAATTCTCTCTCAAACTTTAACCCACTTCTCTTGTATGTTATGCAATTCAACTCAAGAATTCTTATTTTCATTAAAAGGATATTACTATATTAAGTTATTTTTAAGTCGTTGGCAACCATCGTTCAGGTTTTTACTTTTGAACAGATCAACAGTTTGTGAAAAATAATCCTTGCCTCCTAAGATTGCTTGCTGTTTTCATGCCCCACCACGCAAAGCAACCTGCCACACCTTTCAAGCACGATGACGGGAGAAAAGGACATAATTTGTTTCTTCAATTTTATCCCCACAAAAAATGTACTAAGACAGAGTTAAGTTATTCCATTAACTCTTCTATTAAGGAGGTTTCGTTTTGTTCCATAGGAATCCAGTTTTGAATTGCCTTTCAAGGGAAAGCTGACACCTCCAATGTCACAACACGATTCCAAAGCAGCCTGTAAAACTTCTTTCCATCCTGCATTGCTCCGCAGTCAGCAGCTGTTGAGTATGACCTGTTTGTTAGCAAATAAGATTTTAGTTAAGAAAAAATTACATGTAAAATTGACAAAAGAGAACCTTGTTTTGCAATCTAGTTTGCATTGAATTTTAAAGTAGGAACTGTTAAATAAGAGGACAACCCCTATTATCTAAAAGGTCTCACCCCCATCCACGGTTGAATTGTGCAATCAAATGCAATTTAGACTACACAATATTGGATTACATGATAGTTTTTTATTGTCCAAATACCTATTGAAAGAACAATGCAAAATGCTAACAATTTAAGTAACTCTACGGTAATATTTTTTTAGTGAAAATAAGATATTTTAAGTTTAAATCATATGATATGTAAGTGAGGTGAGTTAATGAATAAAAAAGATAAAAAAATATTTTTTATTATGTAACCGAAGATATATATATATATATATATATATATATATATATAAGAACAACACAAAATAGAGGGTCATGTTATGGCCACACAAAATACTATAAATCTGTTTAGTTTGTCTTATTTTATTAGTCCACAATTGCTGAGATACTTGAAAACATCAATTTAGAGATTAATTTTAAACTGTTAAGTAGTAAATACCAAACCTTTATTTGTTATAAACTAATATTTACAATTAGTTACTTATAATAGTCAAACTAAATACACTTTCATTATTTTTGTGTGGACATAAACATGACCCAAAATGAAGAAACTGTACTAGTATTTCTGGTAAGAGTTTTTTTTTTTGAAAGGCGAATGAAATATTAATATTGGAATACTAGGGGTATTCCAACCCAATTCTTACAGGAGCAGCAGAACAGCAGGTTGCAAAAATCATCCTGCCGCCTGCTATCAATGCAAAACATAACAAAATCCAATAA